TTATGGGATATGGATATGGGATATGGGGTGTGGGATATGGGATATGGGATCATGGGGTTATGGGGTATGGGGTCATGGGATATGGGGTTATGGCATATGGATAGGGGATATGGGGTTATGGGATGTGGGATATGGGGTTATGGGATATGGGGTCATGGGATATGGGGTTATGGGATACAGGGTTATGGGGTGTGGGGTTATGGAATATGGGATTATGGGGATATGGGGTGTGGGGTGTGGGATATGGGGTTATAAGATATGGGGATGAGGGGATGTGGGGACACTGTGGGACATGGGAATATGGGGACATGGGGACACTGTGGGACACTGGGACATGGGGGTGTAGGATTATGGGGTCACAACATGGATTGGGGGCATTGGCACTTGGGGACTTGGGGACATTGTGGGACATTGGGACGTGGGGGTGTGGAATTATGGGATCCCCACATGGATGTGGGGACATTGGGATATGGGGACATCCGGACATTGTGGGACATTGGGGTGTGGGAGTGTGGGATTATGGGGTCACAACATGGATTGGGGACATGGGGACATTGGGATATGGGGGCATGGGGACATGATGGGACATGGGAATGTGGGGGTGTGGGATTATGGGATCCCCACATGGATGTGGGGACATTGCGATATGGGGACATGAGGACATTGTGGGACACTGGGACGTGGGATTATGGGGTCACCACATGGACTGGGGACATGGGGACATTGGGATGTGGGGTTGTGGGATTATGGGGTTCCCACATGGACAGGGGACGTGGGGACATCGGGATGTGGGGACATGAGGACATCATGGGACACTGGGACGTGGGATTATGGGGTCACCATATGGATTGGGGACATGGGTGGCCAATGGGACGTGGGGGTGTCACGGTGTGACAATGACCGTCTGTCTGTCCGTCCCTCCCCCCCCCAGTGCTGGTTCGCCGCGGCCCCGATGGCACCGCGCAGTTGGTGCTGTTGGACCACGGCCTCTACGAGACCCTGAGCGAGAGGTGGGGACGTGGGGACATGGGAGGGGGGGGAACGACACGGGGGGTGACAGGTGGTGACAGTGACCCAATAACCCCCCCCTCTGACCCCCAACCCCCGCAGGGATCGGCGCGCGCTGTGCCAGCTGTGGCGCGCTGTGGTGCTGCGGGATGACAACGCCATGAGGAGCCATTCGGCCGCGCTGGGTGTCAAAGGTGAGCCCTAATCCCACTTCCGGGGGTCCTAATCCCACTTCCGAGGGTCCTAATCCCATTTTGCATTCTGTAATCCCACTTCTGGGGGTACTAATCCCACTTTGCAGTCTAGTAATCCCACTTCCGGGGTCCTAATCCCACTTCTGGGAGTCCAAATCCCAATTCTGGGGTCCTAATCCCACTTCCGGGGTCCTAATCCCACTTCTGAGGGTCCTAATCCCACTTTGCGTTCTGTAATCCCACTTCTGGGGGTCCTAATCCTAATTTGCAGGCTGCAATCCCACTTCTGAGGGCCATAATCCCACTTCTGGAGGCCCTAGTACCACTATGTGGTCTGTAATCTTACTTCTGGTTCCATAATTCCAGTTCTGGGGACCCTAATTCCACTTCTGGGGTCCTAATCCCCACTTCTGGGTGCCATAATCCCAATTCTGGGGTCCTAATGCCACTTCTGGGGGTACTAGTTTTATTTTGCAGGCTGTAATCCCACTTCTGGGGTCCATAATCCCACTTCTGGGGTGTTCTAATCCCACTTCTGGGGTCCTAATCCTACTTTGCGGGCTGTAATCTCATGTCTGGGTGCCATAATCCCAATTTGTGGTCCTAATCCCACTTCTGGGAGCCCTAATCCCATTTCTGGGAGTCCTAATCCCACTTTGGAGGCCATAATCTCACTTCTGGGGGTCCTAATTGCTCTTCTGGGGGTGCTAATTATACTTTGCAGACTGTAATCCCATTTCAGAGGGCCGTAATCCCACTTCCAGGGGTCCTAACCAGATCTACAGAGGTCCTAATCCCTCTTGCAGGGGTTCTAATGCTACTTCTGGGGGTACTAATACTACTTTGTGGGCTGTAATCCCACTTCTGGGGGCTGTAATCCCACTTCTGTGGGTCCTAGTCCCACTTCCATGTGACATAGTTCTACTTTGTGGGCAGTAATCCTACTTTTGGGGGCCATAATCCCTCTTCCAGAGGCCATAATCCCACTTCTGAAGCTCCTAATCCCACTTTAGGGACCTTAATTCCAGTTACAGGTGCCCTAATCCCACTTCTGAAGTCCCTTATCCCACTTCCGTGCTCCCAATCCGTTTTCTGGGGGCCAGAATCCAACTTCTTTGTCCCATAATCCCAATCCTTTGGGGTTTTAATTTGGGGTTTTAATCCCAATTTTGGGGGCCCTAATCCCACTTTAGAGGCCTTAATTTTACATTTTGTTGTTCTAATCCCACTTCCGAGTCCCTTAATCCCATTTCTGAGTGTTCTAATAACACTTCGGGGGCCAGAATACCCCCTTCAGAGGCCTTGGTTACACTTTTTGTGGACCTAATCCCACTTCTGAGGGAATTAATCCCACTTCTGGGGGCCCTAATCCCATTTTTGGGGGTCCTAATCCCATTTCTGGGGGCCTTAATTTCAGTTATTTTTCTGATAATCCTATTTCTGAGAGCCCTAATCCCATTTTAGGGATCTTCATTCCACATCTGGGCTCCCTAATCCCATTTCTGAGCTCCCAGATACCATTTCCAGGGCCATAATCCCAATCTGGGGAGGCGTAATCCCAACCATTTTGCTGCAATCTCTAAATTGTGTGCCATAATCTCACACTGGTGTCCCATAATCTCACTTTTACATCCTATAATCCCATTCTGGTGGCCCGTATTACGACACTTGTGCCTCATAATCCCACTTTTGAGAACCATAAAATGATTTCTTACTCCATAATCCCACCCTTTTGCCCCCATAATCCCACTTCTAGGACCAATAATCCCACATCTTCTACTCCATAATACCACTCTTGTTTTTTTTATGATCTGTTTTGGGACCCATAATCCCACTTCTGGAACCCATAATCCCATTTTACCCCCATAATCTCCCATTTGTGCCCTGTAATCTCCAGTGACCCACTATCCCACTTTTTCCCCATAATCCCACTCTAGTGCTGTATAAACTCACTCCAGAGACCCGTAGTCTCATTCCAGTGACTCATAATCCCACTTTTCCCCCATAATCTCACTCTAGCGACCCATAGTCTCACTCCAGTGATCCATAATCCCACTCTAGTGACCCATAATCCCACATTTTCCCCCATAATCTCACTCTAGTGCCCCGTAATCTCACTCCAGTGACCCATAATCCCATTGCAGTCACCCATAATCCCACTTTTTCCCCCATAATCTCTCTCTAGTGCCCCATCTCACTGCAGTGACCCATAATCCCACCTTTTCCCCCACAATCCCACTCTTCTCCCCCCAGATTACTTCCTGTTCTGCGAGATCCTGATGCAGCGCCCCCTGCAGGGGGTCAGCTGTCCCTGGGCAACATCCTGACGTGGGAGATGGTGTACATGTGGGGAATAATCCCACTTTCGACCCCATAATCCCATCATTTCCTGCCATAATCCCACTTCTGCAACCCATAATCTCAGTTTTTACCCCTTAATTCTACTTATGCCCCATAATCCCACTTCTGAAACTCATAATCCCAATTCTGCTATAATTCCACTTTCTCCCCCATAATCTCACTCTAGCGACACAGAATCTCACTGCAGTGATCCATAATCCAGTTCCAGATCACCCATAATCCCACTCTTTTCCCCCATAATCTCACTCCAGTTACCCATAAACCCACTTTTTCCCCATAATCTCACTCTAATGCCCCATAATATCATTCCAGTGACGCATAATCCCACATTTCCCTCTTTAGTCTCACTCTAGTTACCCGTAATCTCACCCCAGTTATCAATAATCCCTCTCCAGTGAGCCAAAATCCCATTTTTGCCCCCATAATCCCGCTTTTTCCCCCACAATCCCACTCTTCTCCCCGCAGATTACTTCCTGTTCTGCGAGATCCTGATGCAGCGCCCCCTGCAGGGGGGTCAGCTGTCCCTGGGCAACATCCTGACGCGGGAGATGGTGTACATGTGGGGAATAATCCCACTTTTGACCCCATAATCCCATCCTTTTCTGCCATAATCCCGTTTCTGCAACCCATAATCTCTGTTTTTACTCCATAATTCTACCCTTATGCCCCATAATCCCACTTTTGAGACTCATAATTCCAATTCAGCACCCATAATTCCACTTTTTCCTCCATAATCTCACTCTAGCAACCCATAGTCTCACTCCAGTGATCCACAATCCCACTCCAGTGACCCATAATCCCACTCTTTTTCCCCATAATCTCACTCTACTGCCCCATAATCCTGCTGCAGTGACCCATAATCCCACTTTTTCCTTCATAATCTCACTCTAGCGACCGATAGTCTCACTCCAGTGATCCAGAATCCCGCTCCAGTGACCCATAATCCCACTTTTCCCCCATAATCTCACTCTAGCGACCCATAGTCTCACTCCAGTGATCCAGTATCCCGCTCCACTGACCCATAATCCCACTTCTCCCCCCATAATCTCACTCTAGTGCCCCATAATCTCACTCCAGTGACCCATAATCCCACTTTTTCCCCCATAATCTCACTCTAGTGCCCCATAATATCACTGCAGTGACCCATAATCCCACCTTTTCCCCCGCAATCCCACTCTTCTCCCCCCAGATTACTTCCTGTTCTGCGAGATCCTGATGCAGCGCCCCCTGCGGGGGGGTCAGCTGTCCCTGG